AGGAATTCTTCCTGATTATTTTGGTATTTTTTTAATAATTTCAGTATAATTCCGTTGTAAGTCGATTTTTTCCCGAATTTTCATATTTCTAAATTTTCATTTTTCTGCTATTTATCGTTTCATACTTTAGAATTTACTTCAGTTTTTCGATTCGCAATTTTACGAGTTTCTCAATTTTCAGAATTTTCAATTTTTGAATTTTTAGATTTTGTAATTTTCGATTAAGTTTCTCGAGTTTTCAATTTTTCGATTTGCGATTTTTCAATTTTTCATTTTTGTTTGTTTCTTCAATTTTACGAGTTTTCATTTTAAAATTTTTAATTTTTTCTATTTTCCAACTTTGGATGTTTCAATTTTTTGATTTTGCAATTTTTCGATTTGCAGTTTCACGAGTTTCCAATTTTTAGTTTCTCGATTTTTAGTTTTCCAGTGTTTCAATTTTTGTTTCTTCAGTTTTTCGATTTTCCATTTTTTTGATTTTGCAATTTTCGTTTTTCCAGTTTTTCGATTTTTCAATTTTTTCAGATTTTTTAGTGGAAAAATTGTAAAATTAAAAAAAAAATTAAAGAAAAACTTGAAAATATCTAAAATTGAAGAAACAAAAAGTTCAAAAATCAAAAGCTTAAAAGTGCATAATCGAAAAACCGATATATAGGTATTGTAAAATCGAAAAATTGAAAACGAAACATTGGAAAATCGGATAACTGGAAATTGTAATATTTCGATTTTCCACTTTTTCTATTTTGCAAATCGTATTATGATTTTTGAATTGTTTCAGATATTTTGGTTTTCGATTTTTAATTTTCCGATTTTCAATTTTTGAATTTTCAATTTTTCGGTTTTCTATATTTCGTTTCTTCTTTTTCGATTTTTAATTTTTCTATTTCTCAATATTTAATTTTTTAATTTTTCGATTTTACAATTTTGACGATTGTACAATTTTTGGGTTTTCCAGTTTTTCGATTCGATTCGATTTTTCTTCTTTTCAATTTTTCGATTCATCACTTTTTTCGATTTTTATTTTTTTAATGTTTCAATTATTCGTTTCTTCAGTTTGTCGATTTTTCATTTTTTTTTTTGATTTTTAGTTTTTCGATTTTTCAACTTTTCGGATAAGAAAAATGAAAAAAACTGCAAAATTGAAGAAAAATTGAAATTGAAAAGTATTAAAGAAAAACTTTAAAATATAATTATAATTTTTAAAATTTTTCACTTTTTCATTCTTACGATTATAGAATTTTGCAATTTCGCAATATTTAATTTTTTAATTTTTCGATTTTACAATTTTGACGATTGTACAATTTTTGGGTTTTCCAGTTTTTCGATTCAATTCGATTTTTCTTCTTTTCAATTTTTCGATTCATCACTTTTTTCGATTTTTAAGTTTCTCGATTTTTATTTTTTTAATGTTTCAATTATTCGTTTCTTCAGTTTTTCGATTTTTCATTTTTTTTTTATTTTTAGTTTTTCGATTTTTCAACTTTTCGGATAAAAAATGAAATAATTGCAAAATTGAAAAACTGAAATTGAAAAAAGTATTAAAGAAAAACTTTAAAACATAATTATAATTTTTAAAATTTTTCACTTTTTCATTCTTACGATTTTAGAATTTTGCAATTTCGCAATATTTAGTTTTTTAATTTTTCGATTTTACAATTTTCACGATTGTACAATTTTTAGGTTTTCCAGTTTTTCGATTCGATTCGATTTTTCTTCTTTTCAATTTTTCGATTCGTCACTTTTTTCGATTTTTAAGTTTCTCGATTTTTATTTTTTTAATGTTTCAATTATTCGTTTCTTCAGTTTTTCGATTTTTCATTTTTTTTATTTGTAGTTTTTCGATTTTTCAACTTTTCGGATAAAAAAATGAAAAAATTGCAAAATTGAAAAACTGAAATTGAAAAAAGTATTAAAGAAAAACTTTAAAACATAATTATAATTTTTAAAATTTTTCACTTTTTCATTCTTACGATTTTAGAATTTTGTTTCTTTTTAATTTTTCAATGCATTATTTTTTTCGATTTTGAAGTTTCTCGATTTTTAGTTCTCCAGTGTATCAATTTTTCGTTTCTTAAGTTTCAAAATGTAAAATTGAAAAATCAAAAATAAAAAAAGTTTCAAAGAGGAACCTTAAAAGCTCTAAAAATTGAAATCAAGAACATGAAAAATTTAAGAAATAAAAAATTCAAAAAGTCCAAAACCGAAAAAACCAAATATGTTTTGTAAAATAGAAAAATCGAAAACTAAAGAATTTTTTGGATTTTTTCTGTTTTTAATTTTTTCGATTTTTAATATTTGGTTTTTCGATTTTTCGATTTTTCAACTTTTCGAATAAAAAAATGGAAAAATTTCGAAACTGTGGAATTGGAAAATCAAAAACAGAAAAAACGAACATACATAAAATGAAAATTTTATAAAATCCAAAAATTAGAAATCAAGAAGTTGAAAATTGAAAAATTGAAACATAAAAATCGAAAAAGTGCAAAATCAAAAAACTGAATATGTATTCTAAAATCGAAATATCGAAAATTAAAGAAATCGGAAACTGAAAATCCAAAAATTGCAAAATTGAAAAATTTAAAAATTTTAAAATCAAAATTGAAAAATAGTATTAAAGAAAAACTTTAAAATATCTTAAAACTGAAATCAGGAACATGAAAAATTGTAGAAATAGAAAATTCAAAATTCGAAAGATTGAAAATTGAGAAACTGAAAAATAAGTATTGTAAAATCGAAATGTCAAAAGTTAAAGATGATGCAAAATCTTATAACTGGGAATTTAAATTTTTCGATATTTTACTTTTTTGATTTTGCAAATTTTGTAGTTTTTTCAGTGTTTTGATTTTTCGATTTTTTCAGATTTTTGAGTTTATGGAGATGCAATTTTTGGATTTTTCAATTTTTCGATTTTGCAATTCGTTTTTAACAAATCTTTGGTTTTTGAATTCTTTCGGATTTTTCAGTTTTTCAATTTTTAATTTTTAAACTTTTCGATTTGCAATTTTTCGATTTTATAAATTTTTGGTTTCACAGCTTTAATTTTTCATTTCTTCAATTTTTCAATTTTTCGATTGTTAATTTTTCAGTTTCTCGATATTTAATTTTTCAATTTTTCGATCTTTAAAATTTTGACGATTGTACAATTTTTGATTTTTTCAATTTTCGATTCCATTCGTTTTTGTTCTTTTCAATTTTTCAGTGCATTATTTTTTTTCTATTTTTAGTTTTCCAGTGTATCAATTTTTCGTTTCTTAAGTTTTCGATTTTCAATTCTTCGATTTTTCACATTTTGGATTTTCTTCAGTTTTTGGATTTTTCAGTTTTTTGGAAAAAAATGGAAAAGTTGTAAAATGTAAAATTGAAAAATCAAAAATGAAAAAAGTATCAAAGAGGAACCTTAAAATCACTAAAAATTGAAATCAAGAACAAGAAAAATTTAAGAAACAAAAAATTCAAAAAGTTTAAAACCGAAAAAACCAAATATGTATTGTAAAATAGAAAAATCGAAAACTAAAGATATCGGAAAATCGGGTAACCGAAAATTGTAATTTTTGGATTTTCCACCTTTTCGATTTTTCGATTTTTCAACTTTTCGAATAAAAAACTGGAAAAACTGTGGAATTGGAAAATCAAAAACTGAAAAAACGAAAATACTTAAAATGAAAATTTTATAAAATCCAAAAATTAGAAATCAAGAAGTCGAAAATTGAAAAACTGAAACATAAAAATCAAAAAAGTGCAAGATCAAAAAAACTGAATATGTATTCTAAAATTGAAATATCGAAAATTAAAGAAATCGAAAACTGAAAATCCAAAAATTGCAAAATTGAAAAATTTAAAAATTGGAAAATCAAAAATGAAAAATAGTATTAAAGAAAAACTTTAAAATATCTAAAAACTCGATCGATTGAAAATTGAGAAACTCAAAAATAAGTATCCTAAAATCGAAATGTCAAAAGTTAAAGATGACGCAAAATCTTGCAACTGGGAGTTTAAATTTTCCGATTTTTGACTTTCTCGATTTTGCAATTTTGTCGTTTTTCGATTTTCTCAGATTTTTGAATTTATGGAGTTTTAATTTTTAGATTTTTCAATTTTTCGATTTTAGAACTTTTCGAAATGGAAAAATTGCGAAATTGTAAAATGAAAAAATTAAAAACTGAAAAAACGAGAAGGTATAAAATGAAAACTTTAAAAAATCTAAAAATTAGAAATCAAGAACTTTAAAAATTGAAAAATCGTTAGATAAAAAATCGAAAAAGTGCAAAATAAAAAAAAAACGAAATATGTATGTATTGTAAAATGGAAATATCGAAAATTAAAGAAATCGGAAAACTGAAAATCCAAAAATTGCAAAAACGAGAATTTAAAAAAGTGGAGGAATTGAAACATTAAAGACTGAAAATCGAAACATGAAAAAAATCAAAAATCAAAAATTTTAAAAGTCAAAAATTTGAAAAAACCGAAAAATCTAAAAGTGTGAAGGCGAAAATCGAAAGATCCAGAAATCAAAACATCAAAAAAGTTAAAAACGTGAAATTTAAAAATTAAAAAAGCATTGAAAAGATGAAAAATTGAGAAGCTGAAATATTCCAAAACGGAAATGACAAAAAATTGGGAAATTGAAAAATTGAAAAAATCGGAAGATAAAAAATCGAAAAAGTGCAAAATCAAAAAAGAAATCTCTATTGTAAATTCGAAAAAATTAAAGAAATCGGAAAACTGAAAATCCAAAAATTGTAAAACTGAAAAATTTTAAAATCGAAATCAAGATAATGAAAAACCAAAAAACTGTGATATATAATATAATAAAAGAACCAAAAACGGATTTTCAAAATTATAAAAATTCACGAACTATTTCGATTTACTTTTAAATTTTAACACGAATTATATCTTGTATCCATTGAGTCACAAAATAAACAACAACTAGAAACGTGCTTGACCGACTCCAGCCTTATCAAACTTCACAAAAACGTGCCATAATCAGTCAAACCACAACCATGAAACTAACACCATACTTTTCAATTTTTCTCCTCAACACACTCGCTTCACCCAAAAAACCCAACCTTTCCGACTTCTTCCGATGGATCAAACCTACGACCAAAATCGGTACTACTTCACCCCCCAACTTCCACAAACTAAAACTTTGTTTTAGAAGAGTACGACTTCGTCATAGTCGGCTCAGGCTCAGCCGGCTCCGTCATAGCAAACCGACTCTCCGAAGTACCCCACTGGAACGTCCTGTTACTAGAAGCAGGCGATAAGGGCGACCTTTTAACTGAAATCCCCATGGTAGTAGCCCTCCTTCAACAAACCAAGTACAACTGGAACTACTTCATGGAAAAACAAGCCGGTGTCGCTCTCGCTTGCAAAGACAACCGAATGCCGTGGCCGCGCGGTCGAGCCCTTGGTGGTACCACCGTAATCAACTACATGATTTATTCCAGAGGAAACCGGTACTGCTACGATAAATGGGGGCGAACTAACCCTGGATGGTCGTACCAAGACGTCCTTCCTTATTTCATCAAGTCGGAGAACGCGGGACTCGAAAAAGCCGACTATAGGTTTCATGGAGTCAATGGGTACTTGAGTGTAGACGACGCGTACCAAACAAAAATCGCGGAGGCGTTTATCGGTGGTTTGAATGAGATGGGGTCGCCTACTATTGACTATAACTCGAATGTGTCTCTAGGGGTGTCAACGGTTCAAGCAACATTGTCGCAAGGGTTGAGGTTGTCAGTCGATAAAGCGTTTCTAGAGCCGGTTAAGCACAGACCGAACCTTCGCATTTTGACTAGAGCTTTCGTCACCAAAGTACTCATCAATCCGAAAAGCTTGCAAGCTTACGGTGTCGAATATGAGTGGTCTGGAAGAAAATTTAAAGCTATAGCTTTCAAGGAGGTTATTTTGTCAGCTGGTACTTTCATGTCGCCTCAGCTGCTCATGTTGTCGGGGATCGGGCCGCAGAAACATCTCCAACAACTGGGGATTCCCGTGTTGAAGAACCTCCCAGTTGGTCAAAACTTACAAGACCATTTAGCTTTTGCAGGATTAACTTTTACCACCCCCCAACCCGTGACGATTAAATTCACCGAGCTTTTCAAACCTTTGAACTACTTCAACTTGTTCAAAAATGGTAAAGGCCCTTTGACTACTCTTGGTGGAGTCGAAGACATAGCGTACATTCAAACCCCAAATTCCCCCTCACCCGACATCGAACTCCTCTTCGTTGGAGGCTCCCTGGCCTCTGACTATGGTCTTTTCATCCGTAAAGGAATGGGGATCACTGACGACATCTACAAGTCCGTTTTTGCCCCTCTAGAAAACACAAACACCTTCATGATCTGGCCGGTACTACTCACCCCTAAATCTAAAGGGTGTCTGAAACTTCGTTCCACCAACCCCCGTGACTACCCTCTTCTCTATGGCAACTATTTGACAGACCGCAACCACCAAGACGTTGGTACTTTTATTACCTCGATTAGAATCGTCCAAAGGCTGGGGCGAACCAAAGCCTTTAGGAAGTTTAATGCAACTTTGAGTACTATTCGAGTACCTGGGTGCACGCGGCACAAGTACGATAGTGATGAGTACTGGGAGTGTTGTCTGCGGTTCCTTGGCCAGACTTTGCACCACCAGGTGGGTACTGCCAAAATGGGGCCAAAGGGCGACCCAGAGGCTGTAGTCGACCATGAGTTGAGGGTGCATGGGATCAAGAAGTTGAGGGTTGCTGATTGTAGTGTCATTCCGTTCGCGCTGGGGGCGCACACTAGTGCGCCTGCTATCATGGTGGGGGAGAAGGCGGCTGACTTGATTAAAAATACGTGGAGGGAGGGGGTGTAAAGAAAATAAAATTAAACATTATTTACACACTTAATATATATACTCGTACATAAGTTCGAAAAATATATTTTTTTAATATTTAATAATTTAATTTATTTAACGACGAAGACTCGTGAAAATTGCTCTACTTAGTAACCTGGACCTTAGAAAGACGACCCCGAGTTCAGAATTGACCTAGAAGTTTCCTGTTTTTTTTTTATTATGCTACATGGAGAAAGAAGGTTATTTCCTGAAGTACAGGAAACACTGAAAAATCGAAATATCGATAAATCGAGAAATTGGGAAATTAAAAAAATATAAAATCGAAAAATTAAAATATCGAAAAACTGAAAAATTAGAAAAATAATTGAGAAATCGGAAACTTGAAAAATCGAAAAATCTAAAAATCAAATTTGAAATCAAAAATGGAAAAATCAAAAATTTTAAAATTGGAAAAACTGAAACAGAGATATCAAAGAATTGAAATATCTAAAATCTAAAAATTCAAAAATTTAAAATCGAAAAATTGACAAATCTAAAACCGAAAAGTCGAAAAAATGAAAAACCAAAAAATGGAATAGGTAATCCAAAATTTAACAAATTGATAAATTGAAAAATCGAACTCGAAAAACCGAAAGATCGGGCAATCAAAATATCAAAATATCTAAAATTTAAAAAATCGGAAAATTAAAATATTATCAAAATTGAAATGTTGAAAAATTGGGAAATCGAAAAATTTCCAAAATTCAAGTGAGAAATTGGAAACTTGAAACATCGAGAAATCCAAAAATCGAAAAGATGAAATATGTTTGAATTGAAAAACAGAGATGTCAAGGAAACGAATGAAAAAAACGAAAAATTGAAAAATTAAACTAAAAAATCAAAATTTAAAAAATTCGAAAAACTGTAAAATAGAAATGTCGAAAAACTGAAAAATCGAAAAATTGAGAAATCGAATAATATGAAATTTAAAAAACTGATAAATTAAAAAATCGGAAGATCGGGAATTCGAAACATCAAAATCTCTAACATTTAAAAAATCGCAAAATAAAATTTGAAAAATAAAAAAAACACATTGAAATATTCTTAAAATTAAAATGTTGAAAAATTGAGAAATTGAAAACTTGAATTCCCGATTTTTCAAGTTTTGAAATACCTATTAAAAAATTTAAAGTCAAAAAAACCTATAAATGGAAAAATCTGGAAAAAAATCCAAAAATTGGAAAATCGATTCATTGAAATCTCGAGAAATCGAAGAACCAAAAAATCTAAAAGTGGGAAGGTGAAAATCGAATGATCGAGAAATCGAAACATCAAAAAAATGAAAAATTCGAAATTTAAAAGTTGGAAAAACTGAAAAATCGAATAATTAAAAAACCGAAAAATCGAGAAATTGAAATATGTAGGTATTTCAAATAAAAACATAAATAAATATCAAAAAACGTAAAATCAAGAAATGGAAACATCAAAAACTCGCAAATTTTTTAAAACTGAATTGAAAAACCGAGAAATCAAGAAATCGAAATATCTAAAATTTATATTGGAAAATTCAAAATTGCAAAATTTTAAAAATTGAAGTATTGAAAAACTGAACAATTCAGGAACAAAAAAATTTCAAAACTGAAATGAAAAATTGAAAATTATAAAAATAGAGAAATCGAATAATCGAAAAATTCAAAATTGAAAAATTTAAAGTTAAGAAACTGACAAATCGAAAAATTGAAAAATCGAATTATCGAAATCTCGAGGAATCGAAAAATTAAAAAACCGAAAAACTTGAAAAAAGAAAAGTCAAAAATTTTAAAAATCAAAAAATTGAGAAACCGAAAAATCTAAAACTGAGGAGGCGAAAATCGAGAGATCGAGAAATCGAAACACTAAAAAAATAAAAAAAAAATAAAAATTCCAAAAATCGCATAATTAAAGCACGGATTTTCGAGAAATCGAAATATTTACTTTGATTAAAAAAAATAAGTATAAAAAAATATATAAAATCAAGAAATGGAAAGATAAAAAAATTGCAAAATTTTGAAAATTGGATTGAAAAACCGAAAAATTAAGAAATCGAAATATCTAAAATTTAAAAAAATCATAAAATTAAAATATCGAAAAATGAAGAATTGAAGAATTACAACATTAAAAAAAAAAACGGAAAGGCGAAAAACTGAAATAAGTGCACATTAAAAAATTTAAAATCAAAAAACCTATAAATGGAAAAATCTGGGGAAAATTGAAGAATCGAAAAGCCGAGAAATTGAAAATTCGAGAAGTCGAAAAAATGAGAAATCGAAATAGCCTAATCGAAAAATCGAAAAATTCAAAATTGAAAAATTTAAAGTTAGAAAATTGACAAATCCAAAAATTGAAAAATCGTATCATCGAAATCTCGGAAAATAGAAAATTGAAACATTTTTAAATCAAAAAATTGAAAAACCGAAAAATCTAAAAGTGAGAAGGCGAAAATCGAAAGATCAAGAAATCGAAACATTAATAAAATGAGAAACCCTAAATTTACAAATTCGAAAAATTGAAAAATCGAAGAATTAAAAAACTGAAAAATCGAGAAATTGAAATATCTAAAGTTTAACAAATTAAAATATCGAAAAAATAAAACATCCAAAAATCGCAAAATTTTGAAAATTGAAGTATTGAAAAACAACAAACAAATTCCAAAACTGAAATGGTGAAAAATTGAAAAATCGAAATATTGAAAAATTTGAGAATCGAAAAATCGAGAAACCGAAATTGAAAAATTAAAACATCAAAGAATGGAAAAAAAAGAGAAAACGAAAAATCGAAAAATTGAAAAATTTAAAGTTAAGAAACTAACAAATCGAAAAATTGAAAAATCGAATCATCGAAATCTCGAGGAATCGAAAAATGAAAAAATCGAAAAAGTGAAAAAAAGAAAAGTAAAAAATTTTAAAAATCAAAAAATTGAAAAACCGGATAATCTAAAAGTGAGAGTGCGAAAATCGAGAGATCGAGAAATCGAAACAATAAAAGAATGAAAAACTTGAAATTTAAAAATTCGAAAAATTGAAAAATCGAATTATTAAAAAACCGAAAATGGAGAAATCGAAATATGTATTTTAAATAAAAATAAATAAATAAATAAATATAAAAAAATAATGTAAAATCAAAAAATGAAAACATCAAAAAATTGCAAAATTTTGAAAATTGAAGTATTGAAAAACTAAAAAAATAATAAATGACGAAAAATTGGTAAATCAAAAAATTGAAAAATCGAAATATCGAAAAATTTGTAAATCGAAAGCCGAAAAATCGAAAACCGACTAATCGAATAAAAAAACGAAACATCGAAAATCGAAACATCGAAAGTAGTTGAAAAATCGAAATGGCCCAAAAGCCAAAAATCGAAATGTTAGAAAATGAAAAAATGAAAAATTAAAATAAAAGCCAAAAAAATGGAGAAATTGAACAATCGAAATCTCGATAAATCAAGAAATCGACAAACTGAAAAATCGAAAAACAGAAAATTGAAAAATTCTGTAAACATCGAAAAATTTAAAAATTGAAAAAACAAAAATGGTAAAATTCGGAAAATTGAAAATCCGAAATATGTATATCTAAAACGGAGATGCCGATAAATCGGAAGTTCGAGAAATCAAAAAATTGAAAATTGAGAAATTGAAACATCAAAAATCGCAAAATTTTGAAAACTGAAGTATTAAAAAACTAAAAAATGCAGAAACAGAAAAAATCCAAAACTGAAATGACGAAATATTGAAAAATCGAGACATTGAAAAATTTGAAAATCGAAAGCCAAAACATCTACAAACCGAAATTGAAAAATTTAAGCTGAAAAAACTGACAAATGAAAACATTGAAAAATCGAATCATCGAAATATTGAGAAATCGAAAAATTAAACAACCGAAAAACTGAAAAATCGAAAAATCAAAAAATCGAGAAAATCTAACAGTGAGAGGGCGAAAATCAAGAGATCGAGCATTCGATAGATCAAAAAAATGAAAAAGTTGAAATTTAAAAATTGAAAAGTCGAATAATTAAAAACCGAAAATCGAGAAATCGAAAAATGTACTCCAAAGTAAAAAAAATGAATATCAAAACATTTCGAAAATTGAATTGAAAAACCGAAAACCACGAAATATATAAAATTTAAAAATAAAAAAATTAAAATATCGAAAAATGAAAAATGGAAAATTTAAAACTTCAAAAAATCGTAAAATTTTGAAAATTGAACTACATATTGAATAACTGAAAAATTGAATTGACGAAAAATTGAGAAATCGAAAAATTGAAAAATCGAAATATTGAAAAATTTGAAATTCCAAAGCCGAAAAATCGAATAAATGACAAATCTAATTAAAAAACTGTAACATCGAGAAATGAAACATTAAAAGATCGAGAAATCAAGAAATGGACAAACCGAAAAATCTAAAAACTGAAAATCGGAAAATGTAAACACCGAAAAGTTTAAAAACCAAAAAATCAAAAATGGTAGAATTCAACAAATTGAAAAACAGAAATATCGAAGAACCGAAAATCGGAAAATCGAAAAATCAAAAATTTTAAGAAATGAAAAGTTAAAATGATCGAAAAATTGAAGAATTGACATATTAAAAAATCGCAAAACGGGAAATATCGAAAAATTGAAAAAAAATTAGAGAATCGAAAAATTGAAAATCACAAAATTGAAACATCGGTAAATTATGAAATCGAAAAATTGAAAAATCGGTAAATCGAACAGTTGAAAAGTCGAAATTTTAACAAATCCAAAACAGAAAAATCGAAAAAGCAAGAAATCGAGAAATAGAAAAGACGAAAAACCGAAAAATTGACAAATCCCAAAACTAAATCATCGGTAAACTGAGAAATCGGGAAATGAAAAGCCGAGAGAAGAAAACCTGAAGAATGAAAAAATTGAAAAATCTTAACACTGAAATATCGAAAAAATAAAATCGAGAAATTGAAAAACTGAAAATCAAGAAATTGAAGAATAAGGAAACTGAAATATCGAAAAATTCAGAAATCGAAAGTTGAATAATCGAGAACTTTGAGTTTTATTTGGGAATAAATATTTTATTTAAATAACAAGACATAAACTTAAATAAACTGCGTGTCAAAAGTTAGGGATATCGTTGAAAGACTTCTTTTTTTAATTTCGAAATAATTGAGTAGGCTTAAACTGAATTAATTTAAATATCCCCAAATTTTGACGAGCACTTTAACACAGAATATTAAAAAAAAACAAAATAAAAAAGTTACATGTGAAATTTGGATACAGAAATCGACATATTCGGACATATTTTTTCCAAAAATCTCGGTATTTCCGATAAAAATTCAACACGGATTCATAAACCACAAATAGAATAGTACGTTATCTTATAAAATTTAAACAACATTTACTAGTATAAAATCTGGAGATGACATCATTCCATCTCTGGGGATTTTCCACCCTAAAGAATAATTTTCCTACTAGAAAATTCCGTGCAATCGAACGGTACATGGCTATCTCGAGCCCTTTTAAAACGGTGAGTTCGTAATGTCGAAAAATATTCTTCGAGTATGACAGATTTACACTAGAAAATTGTGGTTTCCGGGTGTCGTCGCGGCCACAAATTGTTTACGTCTTTGCAAAAACCAGCCGCGACTCTGTTTCTAAAATGGCGCAGTTCTCGTTCACCGTAACCCGTATCCGAGCGCATCCTGCCATCTTAATAATTAGTTCCAGCAGCTCGCGTTTCACGCATTCTGCGGCCACTAACCGCTGCTGCAAAATTCATCCTGTGGTAGCTCTCACCAGCTATTAAACGTTCGGAATACATTTAACTCGACTAAAACCGCCTAGACCAGGTCGCAGGGTACGCCGGTTTTCAGTGGTGGAACGAGCATGATCTCGGGAAGTAAATAAGGGAACATTGGCGTTAGCCAGATTCTGAGGCGGACATTTTTCATTGCGTAAAGAAGGGAGAATCCTGTTGCGATCAATATAGGCGTTTCTTCCTGCTAAGTTCCTAGGCAGTTGGAATGGCGGCATGCACCGAAAGCGCGACAATTCCGCAGGAATGACGATGTTTGCAGGATTTTTTTCTTCCAGGTGGATTGCCTTATAAAGTTTATCCTGGCCATGATGGTGTCCTCACGGAGAAACGGAAACAGAGGAGGATAAGGACGACGTTCACGTCGGCACAGCTCAAGGAACTGGAACGGGCTTTCCAGGAGACGCATTATCCGGATATCTACACCAGGGAGGAAATTGCCATGAAAATTGATCTCACCGAGGCGAGGGTACAGGTTAGTCAAAATTGGGATGCGGACGGGAAATTACTAAGTATTTGTATTAAATTTTTCCCAATTCGCTTGGTCGCCGAAAAATTACAGGAGCGACAGCGCCGATTTCACGCCTCATAAATAAAAATTCCGGCCAAGATTAAACGTATTTGTTTCGGATAAGAAGTGTCAGCGCTTGTCTAGCTAGCCATTACGGAAATAGCTTCATTGAATTTCGTCTAATTGTATTATACGAATAATTTGACTAAAAGCCAAACGTTTATTGCAGTTGTAGAGTTAGACTTGCGCCAGTTTTGGGTCTTTTGTTAACGCTGCGAAACTTGTTCTTACTAATTCACAAGTGGTGATTTAATGAATATTTATAGGACTTAGAACGGAGATAATTAGTCACGAGGATGAGGTGTGGTCAGAAACAATTAATTTGTTGATTTGACGAGACTTGTTATAAATATGTTGCCAAATATTTGTTCTTTCGAAAACAGAAAAACTTGGAATTAAACGCTTGTGATTTGTCAGGTGCCCCCATAAAGCAAGACTTGCCAAAACACGGATAATTTCATTGCAAAGCGGACTGGTAAATTTAGCAAAAATTATTGCAAAATATCGTTCGCGTGCTGTTAAATTATAGTGTTTTCTTTACAGTTTTCGGTATTTTTTTGTAAAGTATTTTGCAGCTTTTAAATGCCATTTCACCTACTCTCCCCGAGGTATCTTCCAATCGTTTATCAATAATTGCTCTACTATATCCACCGACTGACTTAAAGGTCAGCCCAATGGTTTCTAATCTAGTTATACTTGTTTTAAGATGGTAAAATGGGTTTTTATATAAGCCAAATTATGTTTGAGATTCTTTTGTTGGAAATAGTATTACAAAATATTTCATTTAATTTAGAATGAAACCCATATTGTCAGAACAGGTTCTGGAGGCAATGGACCATCCCGGAAGGCTTTAATCCTGAAATGAGCTTTAAGAACTATTTTCTTTACGTTGGAAATTAAACCACTGACATTTTCATATTTATTCCGGATAACTTCAGCTACTAAACTTAAGGCGTAACCCAAACATACTACATGAATTAAGTTGGGAAAATATTTCCAGATGTTTGCCATCTAAATCTCGATGAAAAATGGGTAGAAATTTGAAGAATGGGGAACCATTAAAAAAATTCCATTTTTAAAACAGTTGATACATAAAAACAGGTTTCAGATGGTACATTCTTGCAGATAAATAAAGATTTTGCAATTAAGCTCCGCCCCTCAGCTCACGATGAATAAAACAAGTCGTCACAATTGAGATGAGGGTGGGTGGGCGGGGTTTGTATTTTCTGTTTCTTCCTTAATGTATTCACGTAGTTTTCTTTTCTTGCAAAACATAAGCCCCGCCCACCCACCCTGTCTCAATTGTGACTATTTTTATTTATTTGTCGTGAGTTGGGAGGGCAAAACTTATAAAGAAATCGTGTTGTTCAAAAAAAACTATATGTATTAAGTAAAAATTAAAGCCAAAATTAAGCCCCACCCACCCGCCCGATCTCATTTGTGATGAATTTTTCATTGGTTGTCAGACAGAGAGGCGGAGCGTAATTGCAAAATCCGTATTTCCCTACAAAAATTTCCTATTTTAATTATGTTTAAAGTTTTTTGTTTGTGAAGAGAAGACTACGTATTTTAAGAAAAATGTCAAAATATAAGCTAATTGCAAAAATATGGCGTGTTTGGGATCACGGAGCAATATTTTCTAAATATCTGGTGCAAAATTCGATTTTTTTTAATTTTTAAAAATTTCAATATCTCAGAGACCGATTCTGGAAAACCGGTTGGAGTTATTAAGGAAACGAATTCGGAAGTGAGTTCTAGAGCTCGAAATCTACAAGAAAATCTATTAATTAAGTTTAGAAAATGGTGAAAAATGGGTCGAAATTTGAAGAATTGGAAAAATTTCATTTCTAAAAAATTTGTCTAAAAATTTAGAAAAAATTCTCGACGTGCGGATGTTTCAGATGGTAAGTTCTTGTTGAGAAATAAGGATTTTGCAATTAAACTCCGCCCCCTGGCTCACAACGAATAAAAAAATCATTTACAATTGAGACGGCGGTAGGTGGGCGGGGCTTAAATTTTGCCGTTTTTTCTGAATATATGTAGATAAATAAATCTTCTTTTCGTGACAAGATATTTAAAACGTTTAAAATGGTAAATTTTTGTCGGAAAACCCGGATTTTACACTTAAGCTCCACCCCTTGGTCGGACAACGAATGAAAAATGTATCACATTTGAGGTTGGGGCGGGTGGGTGGGGCTTAATTTTTGAAATACATACTTTTTTTTCAACAACATGATACGTAAAAACATGTTTCAGATGGTAGATCCTTGTGGATAAATAAATATTTTGTAATTAAGCCCCGCCCCTCAGCTGACAATGAATAAAACAGGTCGTCACAATTGAGACGAGGGTGGGTGGGCGGTGTTTGTATTTTCTGTTTCTTCCTTAATGTATGCACGTAGTTTTCTCTTCTTGCAAAACATAAGCCCCGCCCACCCACCCTGTCTCAATTGTGACTATTTTTCTTTGTTCGTCGTGGGTCGGAGGGGCAAAACTTATAAAGAAATCGTGCTGTTCAAAGAAAACTGTATGTATTAAATAAAAATTAAAGCCAAAATTAAGCCCCACCCACCCGCCCGATCTCATTTGTGATGAATTTTTCATTGGTTGTCAGACCGAGAGGCGGAGCATAATTGCAAAATCCGTATTTCCCTACAAAAATTTACTATTTTAGTTATGTTTAAAGTTTTTTATTTGTGAAAAGATGACTACGTACATTAAGAAAAATGTCAAAATATAAGCTATTTCCAAAATATGGCGTGTTTGGGATCATAGAGCAATATTTTCTAAATATCCGCTCTAAATTCGAATTTTTTGCAATTCAGATGGTAAGTTCTTGTTGAGAAATAAGGATTTTGCAATTAAACTCCGCCCCCTGGCTCACAACGAATAAACAAATCATTTACAATTGAGTCGGCGGTAGGTGGGCGGGGCTTAAATTTTGCCGTTTTTTATGAATAGATAAATAAATCTTCTTTTCGCGACAAGATATTTAAAATGTTAAATTTTTGTCGGAAAACCCCGATTTTACACTTAAGTTCCACCCCTTGGTCCGACAACGAATGAAAAATGTATCACATTTGAGGTTAGCGCGGCGGGTGGAGCTTAATTCTTGACTTTTTTTCTTGACATACATAGTTTTTTTTCAACAACATGATATGTACGTAAAAACATGTTTCAGACAATGAATAAAACAGGTCGTCACAATTGAGACGAGGGTGGGTGGGCGGAGTTTGTATTTTTTGTTTCTTCTTTAATGTATGCACGTAGTTTTCTTTTCTTGCAAAACATAAGCCCCGCCCACCCACCCTGCCTCAATTGTGACTATTTTTATTTATTCGTCGTGAGCCAGGAGGGCAAAACTTTATGCAAAATATAAAGGAATCGTATTGTTCAAAGAAAACTATATGTATTAAGTAACAATTTAAGCCAAGATTAAACCCCACCCACCCACCCTTATCTCATTTGTGATGAATTTTTCATTAGTTGTCTGACCGACAGGCGGAGCGTAATTGCAAGATCCGTATTTCCTTACAAAAATTTACTATTTTAATCATGTTTTAAGTTTTTTGTTTGTGAAAAGAAGACAACGTACATTAAGAAAAATGTCAAAATATAAGCTATTTCCAAAATATGGCGTGTTTGGGATTACAGAGAAATATTTTCAAACTATCCGGTCTAAATTGGAATTTTTTGAAATTTTTAAAAGTTTCGATATTTCAAAGCTCCGCCTCTTGGTCCGAGAACGAATGAAAAATGTATCACTTTTGAGGTTGGGGCGGGTGGGTGGGGCTTAATTCTTGACTTTTTGTCTTGACATAGTTTTTTTTCAACAACATGATACGTAAAAACATGTTTCAGATGGTAGATTCTTGTAGAGAAATAAACATTTTGCAATTAAGCTCCGCCTCTCAGCTCACGATGAATAAAACAAGTCGTCACAATTGAGATGAGGGTGGGTGGGCGGGGTCTGGATTTTTAGTTTCTTCCTTAATATATGCACGTAGTTTTCTTTTATTGTAAAACACAAGCCCCGCCCACCCGCCCTGTCTCAATTGTGACTATTTTAATTTGTTGGTCGTGAGTCGGAGAGGCAAAGCTTTATTGCAAAATATAAACTAATCGTTATGTTCAAAGAAAACTATATGTATTTAGTAAAAATTTAAAACAAAATTAAGAATTAAATGTTTCAGATGGTAGATTCTTGTAGATAAATAAACATTTTGCAATTAAGCTCCGCCCCTCAGCTGACGATGAATAAAACAAGTCGTCACAATTGAGGTGAGGGTGGGTGGGCGGGGTTTGTATTTTCTGTTTCTTCTTTAACGTATGCACGTAGTTTTCTTTTATTGTAAAATATAAACCCCGCCCACCCACCCTGTCTCAATTGTGACTATTTTTCGTTGTTCGCCGTGAGTCGGAGGGGCAAAACTTATAAAGAAATCGTGCTGTTCAAAGAAAACTGTATGTATTAAGTAAAAATTAAAGCCAAAATTAAGCCCCACCCACCCGCCCTGATTTCATTTGTGATGAACGTTTCATTGGTTGTCAGACCGAGAGGCGGAGCGTAATTGCAAAATCCATATTTCTCTACAAAAATTTACTATTTTAATCATGTTTAAAGTTTCTTGTTTGTGAAAAGAAGATTACATATAATTAGAAAAATGTCAAAATATAAGCTGATTCCAAAAATATGGCGTATTTGGGATCACGGAGCAATATTTTTGAAATATCCAATGTGAAAATCGAATTTTTTGAAATTTCGATATTTCAAAGACTGATTCTGGAGAAACGGTTGGAGTTATTAAGGAAATGAAATCGGAAGTGAGTTCTAGAGTTCGAAATCTACAAGAAAATGTATTAGTTAAATTTCGAAAATAATAAATAAGTAAATAATATAAATA